GAGGAACACTTGGATCCTGAGACAGCCAGTGGAGTGCCCTCTCCATCCTGGCTCAGCCTCATGCCACCAACTGGAGACTTGAATAGAACAGGACGGCCCTGCCAGGAGCTAGCAGGAACTCCTCCTGTCTGGCAGCCTTGAGCTGGGACACAGGTTATATTCTACCTGCTGACTCAAACTGAGGCATTGGCTTTTTCTGGGTTTCAAAAATGCTGGCATTGGGATAGGAATTTACATCCTTAGACATCCTGGTTCTCAGCCCTTTGGACTCAGATGAAAACTACAATGTCAGTTTTCCTAGGTCTCCAGCTTGTGGACTGAAGATCTTGAGATCTGTCTGCCTTCATAATCCTGTGAGCCAATTCCTTATAATTAATCTCCCCATCTCTATCTCATCTATGTATAAATCTATGTATCCCCTAGTGTACATATATATACATATATGCAGCTATATTTTATACACATGCATAATATATAATGAATATACATATGTGTGCATGTGTGTCTATCTGTATATCTCATCCATTTATAAATCTGTAAATCTCCTAGTGTACATATAAACACATATATGCACCTATACTTTACACATACACATATAATATATAATATATAAATAGTGTCTGTGTGTGTGCGCGCACTTTCTCTGGAGAACCCCAAATAATATACAGTCTGCACAATTCACTGTACAATGAGAGTTCATCGCTCTACTTCTAGATTATTTTTAAGTTCTCATTTTTCTAAAATTATGTTTGGTAAAAAAAAAGTTCACCATTTTAAAATTTGTGACTGAGGAAACAATTTTAAAAATTACACACTGTTAATACTTATGTTTAATTTAAACTCTCTTCAATGCATTTCAGTAAAGTGGTATTTTCTATCATTTACATGTAAATGATTGACCATGGTAGAGGTTCCATTTGCACTTAAGATAGTTTGAAAACAGAGCAATAATGCAGAAGTTTAATTGTTTTAAAGTCATTAAAATTATCTGGTCTTGTCAGTGGCTTTTTATTTTCTCTCTTTCTTTTATCCCCCCTTTCTTTACTTTTTCTTTCTTTGTTTTCATTTTTGGATAAGGTCTCATTCTGTCACCTAGGTTGGAATGCAGTGGTACAGTCATAGCTCACTGGAGCCTCAAACCTCCTGGGCTCAAGTAATCCTCCTGACAGCCTCTTCAGCAGCTTGGACTACAGGTGCATGTCTGCACCACCATGCCCATTTATTTATATATTATTTATCTTTAGAGATGGGATCTTGACGTGTGGCCCAGGCTGGTCTCAAACCCCTGGGCCCATGCTGTCTTTCCACCTCAGTCTCCCAAACTTTCAGGATTACAGGTATGAGCCACTGCACCTGGCCTTGCTTTTTATTTATTAATGCTATTATTTGTAGTTAAATGTAATCACTAATCACATCTGTGTTATATCTTACATGAAAGTTTTTGAAAAATTAAGTCTGAATGTTTTCCTCTTAAATATTAGCCATAAAGTTGTTCAATTATGTTAATTTATCTCAGTAAATGTATGCAAACTTATGCAACTATATAAGAATATCTTTTATATTTATCTACTCAAAATTCTGTAAGCAAGATTTTGAAAAGTATATTATCTTTAGTTTTCAATTTTTTTTGGTAAATTTTCTTGAATAAAGAAGGGTATTTTTGCTATTTTCAACATCACATAGTTTTATATATTTAAGTAGTTTTTGAATCCACTATTCAAGAAAAAGCCAAAATCATATGGGAATATATTTGAATTCTTCAATTCAAATCCTGTGATTTTTTTTTTCCTCTAGAAAAAGTAACCCTTGCTTGATACTCTAACAACATATTCTAAGATAAATCCTACTTTAGAACAACCATACTTGGTAAGCAAAACATTTACATGTTGGTTTTCTATGATGCTTTATGAATGAGTAATAACTAAGTTAGGAAAAAAGATAAAGATTTGACTCTGAAGGTAACAGGATAAAACAAACCAATTCCATTTCAAAAGTCCAAGGATTTACATATTTTGGTTTGCAACAGACAGTTCAGAGCATTTCTCAACCTCATGCAAACAGAACAGATAATTAAAACAACTAAATGTATCATGCATTAAAGCAATGCAATTTAACAATATCATGTATCTCAAACAGATGTTACGGTCACTAATCTTTAAAAGTGTATTATTTTCCCCTCATGACCTGTAGTAGATAACTGAAAATGAAAAATCACAATCAGTGAACACATTCTAGTGATTCCTCCTGCTATCAAAATTTGCCCACACCAAGTGAGTAGGCTGACTATAGAGAATTTTTTCATTCTCTTTGACCTTTAAAAACAAAGCCTTAAAATTATGTAGCACCAAATGTAAATCAAGATTATAAGCACAAGAATGACTTTCACATGCATTAACCAAAATTTTAATCATGAAGGGCAAGAGAGGGCTCTTAAAGTTTTTACTTTGTCTCTTGTTAATCTATGCAGCCTTAGGGATATAATTCATCTTTCACAGGCATCAATTTCTTTATCCACAGCATGAGAGTCATAGTATCTTTTTAATCATAACTCACAAGTTCCTATGAATAACAAATTAGATAAAATTTGAAAACGTTTTCTAACAATTTACATTCTCTGCAAATAATATTTAATTATTATTATCTCTCTCTCTTTCTCTCTTTTGGTATCTCTCTGTCACCGAAGCTGGAGTGTAGTGGCACAATCACGGCTCACTGCACCCTTCACTTCCTGGGTTCAAATGATCCTCTTGCCTCAGCCTCCTGAGTAGCTGAGACTACAGGTGCAAATTACCACATCCAGCCCATTTTTGTATTTTTTTTTGTAGAGATGGGGTTTCGCCATGTTACCCAGGCTTGTCTCAGACTCCTGGGCTCAAATAACTCTCCTGCCTCAACTTCCCAAAGTGCTAGGATTACAGGCATGAGCCACCCTACTGACCAATAATTGATTATTATTATTGTTATAGACTTTTTTTTAGAATTGAAAATTGAGAGGTTTTATTTATAGTAATAAAATATAGAAAAACATATAGAAATATCAGATGAAGTCACCGTAAATCCAGTAAGTAGAAGACCTTTGTAAAAAACCAAGTGCTGCAGGAGATAAAAGTTGAGACATAAAAAGACAACATAAATCGCAGCTGGAAGAAAGGTAAAGTCTTTGATTGGAAACAAAAAAAAATGTAAAGGCCAAAGATTGCTTTGTTGAAGCTCAATATTTGAAAAGAATGTAAAACTGCGGAACACTCTCCAAATTACACATGGTTACTTTACAGAAATGACATTCTTGTCTACTCATTAGCACCATGCATAAAACAAGAGGCAGTGTGGTTTCCCCTTTTCCTCTTTGCTGACAAGACAGGAAGAGTTCTGTTATAACTGGGCTACCACTGACAGTAACAGTGAAAAAAATATATCCCACGTGACTTTTCCAATTTACAATAGCCACAATAAGTTCATAAATTTGGGAGATGATCATATAGACTCCCAAATGCCTGGTGTTTTAATTTTGTCACATTTTAACTTTGTCGCCTCTCAACTTTCAAAACTCAATGACATAATTTATGAATTCTTTGAAGCTAAGAAAAAAAGTTGGTTAAGTTTCACACTCCATCCTCAACTATGTGAAAAAATAGGGCCCAGCATCCTTTGAAAACTTCTTGAATGTTTAATGAAAAGTAAGTTTGTTTTTCTAAGACAGAAAACATTTCACTCTCAAAATGAAAATTCATGATTTAGACAGATTGAAATGAGGGAATCATGTCATGAATATTTATTGTAGCATTAATATTTGCAAAAACTTCATAAAGCAGAAAATGGTTATCATTCAAAATTCAAGTGATGGGTTAGGATATAAAATATACAGTAAAATGTACAACTTCAAATTCACAGAATTTCTTCTGAGTCACAGAAGCTGAACGTATATATATAACTGAATTTGCCAAGCTTATTCCTTCGAAGTATGTAAGGTTTACCTACAGTCAACTAAACCCACACAAAGCTTGCTTTCCTTTTAACCTAAACTCAAGTTAAATACAGTATATTGTATTGTTTATCAATTAGGGATCTTTTACCATTATAACATTATCACAGTTTATAACTTTGTGTCAAAATGTTTTGCAGAAACAAGCAAACAAAAACAAATGCCACACATGTATTTTAAGTTTAATCTGTTTCTACATCGACTGGTCTCACATCGAGTAAAAAGATTTTAATTGAGGTACAAGGGAGCAACAATTTAATTACATGTATTCTCCCTACAGGAGCTGGTGAGAAGATTTATGTCAGAACGATTTAATTCTATAAAGTTCCAATAATTCTTTATGCATTTTAAATTTTACCTAACTGGACAAAAGAGAGTTATGGGATCTCTTGGGTGAAAATCTATTAAATGTGTGGCTATAGTTTAGTTTCCTTTAGTTTAGACTAGGACATCCTATTCGATCTATTCTTGCATGTAAGTTTCAATTGAGGAGGAAAATCAAAGGAAATAATGATTAACGAAAAGGCTCTGGTATCGAGTTGTAGCAACATGGTAAGTAATCCTGAAAAAAATATTCTCAAGGATGAAAACTTTTGTTAGAGTTAACTCTAAAGTTGATTGATCTATGTAAGGTGGAGTACACAAAACACACTAAGACAATAAATCGTTTGCACGTGTGTCAGTGTCTGAGTTCCCATAAAAATAGATTATTAATATATTTCCCGGCATTTTTCATTCTTTCCATAAACCGCAATAAAATATAACATTTCTACAAAACATACACACACCATGTTCATTAGCTTGTTTGAAGTACCAGACAGCGTGAACATTCACATAATCACCAAAAAGAACAAGGCATTTTGCATCCAAACCCACTCTATTCCCTCTCCATATACCTCCTGCTTCCTTTCTCAGGATAATCAGTCTAAGATCATAGATTGGTTTTGCCTGCTTTTGTATTTCACAGGGTATCATCACAGAATAAGTAGGCACTCTTTTTGCCTCGGGATTCTGTTTTCAGGGGAAAGCGCAAATGCAGTCCCCGACACCACAGATTATACAGTGGAGTTTCCCACATCTGGGGAAATTGCAGGGGTCAGCACATCCAGAGTGCAATCGATTAGCCTCGCCCGCCCTAGGAAAACCATATTCATGATCATGGTACCTCCCCTGCCAAGGAAGTATCCTTGGGATTCTTTCACTTAGTGTTGGGTTAATGAGGTTACCCTATACTGTGAGAAGCAGGGCTTCATCCTGTTGATGAATGAATGAGTTGTTATGAATTCAACCTGCTGTGATGAATGACTCAGAATCTGCATATCCATTCCACTGCTGAGGAACAGTTTGGTGGTTTTCAGGTTTTGTCTATTGCGAGTAACACTGCTAGGAACCTTGCATTACACATCTTTTGGTGGGTGGGTGTGCACATTTCTCTTGTATATATATGCTTAGGAGCCCTTCTGTTCAATAACAGGACACAGTTAACATTAAGCTTTAGTGAAGATCGACCAAGTTAATGTCCAATGTATTCCAGTATCTTCATTTTCCCAAGGACAGACTATGAGAGTTCCAGTTACCTCATATTCTCAGCAATGCTGAGAATTACAAGATGGCAATTGCAGCTTTATTTCCTTATTTGTAAGTTCCTGAAAACATTTGGGCCATCTTTTCCCAACTGCACCATGTGTTTCTAACATACAACCCAGCCCCCCAAAACTGACACACACATGATATCAGGGGTGAAGGAAAGCCTGTGTGTAAACATTCAAACTCCAATTTTATAAATTGGATAAAGAATCCCAGATACAGGTGCTTTGTGAGGGATGTACACAGCCTTGAGTTGGGTAACTGCCCAGAAACACACCATGATAATAGCTGCTAACCACTTTCCCATGCCTGCATTGGAACCTGGGCCATTAAGATCCTGGATGAAAGCTCTGTCTTCCCCTCTCTACCCACTTTACCTGAATTGGACGTCAGATAATTACCTTTTCTGTTAGAAGACAAATTATAGTGTCTGACCTTTCACCTTTTATGGAAGAATAGCAATAATCACCCTCACTTTAAAAATGCTTCGATAATGCAAAGACTGGATCATAATTTAAAACATTGTCATGGGGAAAAAAAATTAAAGTTTCGACAGCAACAACAAAAATACAAACAAGCAAGTCATTCTCTAGAACCTGCAAATCAATTACTTAGTAGATCGATAACTGAGCCCCTGCTATACACCAGCTATAGTGATAGGCTCAGAGCAGAGAGATAAAGAAAATAAGCTGCTTGCCCTTGAGAAAAGAACTCTACAAAGACAGAAAAATTACATAGTTGATGTTTGAACTGAGAAAGGAAAAACCACCCTGAAATTGACATCACCAATTTAATCTTTTAAGAATACCCATGAAAAATCTTAATTTTGAAGAGTACTTTCAGAAGTCATAGTCGTTTATTAAAACTAGCTCTTATTATGAGACGACATAAAAATGCAGCATTGAAAGGAAGCGTCTTCGGTTTGTGTTGGGGGGTGTGCGTGCATACACAAAAATACATACACTATACACTATCTAATTATATTACTTCATACGTAATTACGTTAAGTCATTCCATCATAGCAAGATTTTATGTGAGTAAAATAGAGTTGGGCTTTTTCTTTAAATTTGGTTGGGCTTTTTGTTTGCCTTAGTCTCCAAGAATCTAAATTTAAGTTGCTGTAGGTATTGAAGTCAGGACACCATAGTTTTCAGTAAATCATAATATTAAAAAAAATTGATCACACAAGAGATTGATTTTGTGGGCAACTACCATTTTTCTCTAAGACAAGTTATTCTGAGTGCCAATACATTTTATTGTACACAAATATATGGCAGTTTTAAACTCTGAACAAAAATGGATTTTTATCAACCCTTTCAGTATGATTCTGTCGCAGATAAATTTTCTGAGCAATAGCAAAGTACAAAACCCTTTAGATATGGTGAAATCAAAAATAATCTATTTTAATTGCAAGTATATAAGTTTACTGTATTTATTTTAACCAGTAACTGCAGTGATAAAGGCTTTTTAAAACTTTCATAAAAAAGATACAAAATGTAATTCCTTAGAAATGTGTTATAAACACATGTTGAAAAAGCTCTAAAATGTATTTATCTAGCATGTTATTTTTACCAAGGTGTTTGTTTTTCAGAGGTTCACTTTTCTGCAGAAATATTAACTCTATTAATATGCATTCCCAACCCCTCATTTCAATATTATTCCAAACTGATAGAATTCTGTAACTATTCCATGCATGTGACCATAAAGAAAGATAATGCATATATTTACTGCCAGGTGCGGTAGCTCACGCCTGTAACCCCAGCAGTTTGGGAGGCCGAGGTGGGTTGATCCCTGTGTCAAGAAATGGATACCACTCTGGTCAACACGCCGAAAACCCTTTTCCACTAAAAATACAATAATTAGCTGGGCGTGGTGGCACAAGCCAGTAGTCCCAGCGACTCTGGAGGCTGAGGCAGGAAAATTACTTGAACTCAGGAGACAGAGGTTGCAGTGAGCAGAGAACATGCCACCTCACTCCAGCCTGGTGACAGAGCAAGACTCTGTCTCAAAAAAAAAAAAAGAAAGAAAGAAAGAAAAGAAAAGAAATAATGCATTTATTTGTAAATCACTGATTTCAGGAAGAATTAGCATATTTAGAGAAGAATATACTATAAAATTTGGAGGAAATAGAGTAGTGATTAGAACCATGGGTTCCAGAGCCCACTGTAGATTCAAAGTATAATTCTGAATATCTGTGTAATCTGGACCAAGTCAAGTCAGCCTTTCATGCCTCATTTTTGTAATTTGTAAAATAGGAAACATAGTAGTATTACTAATATAACCCATGGAAAAGTGCCTGACATGTAAATATCATTAGTAGTGGTTTTGACTCCAAATGCATCCTCTCAACTTTAATGAAAGTAGCTCTCACATATCAATATGTACAGACTGCCATGTGATCATAATACATTGATTTTAAAAGAGAATTGAATTCTCCCTTTTTGGAATCAAAGGTAATTTAGGATATTGAAAATATATGTGAAAATGTGAGTGGAATGCCATTTTTACCTATAAGGGTGCTGGCATTTAATATTAAATATATACTTATGTTTAAAAGTAAAGTTTAGGCCAAGCGTGGTGACTCACATTTGTAATCCCAGCACTTTGAGGTTGAGTCGGGTGGATCACCTGAGGTCAGGAGTTCAAGACCAGCCTGGCCAAAAAAATTAGGCATGGTGGTGGGTGCCTGTAGTCCCAGCTACTAGGGAGGCTGATGTAGGAGAATCCCTTGAACCAGGGAGGTGGAGGTTGCAGTGAGCCAAGATTGCACCACTGTACTGTAGCCCCAAGCAAGAGTGTGATACTGCATCTCAATTAAAAATTTTTCGATATATATTTATATATAAATTTTTATATATAGAAATATATATTTATATATACATATAAATATGTATATCAGATCGGAACAAACCAGAGAAGGGTGCATTTCAGAGTTTCCCAGCCACAATCTTGGCTCACTGTACCTTTTCCTCCCAGGTTCAAGCCATTCTTCTGCCTCAGCCTCCCGAGTAGCTGAGACTACAGGCATGTGCCACCAAGCCCAGCTAATTTTTATATTTTTAGTAGAGATGGGTTTCACCATCTGGACCTCACGATCTACCCACCTGGCCTCCCAAAGTGTTGTGATTACAGGTGTGAGCCACCGCACCCAGCCCCCTTAATTATACTTTAACACAGCATTAGAACAAACATATGCCTCTGGGAAGAAGAGCGAAAAAGCTCTGAAGAAACTGAAAGCAAACCTGAAATTACCTAGAACACACTGAAATATCTGGGTTTATTGGGTAGTAACTACATAAAACATTATGTAAACAGATCAAATGAGACAGCATAAAAATAAATTGATATGAAAAACTAAATTTACATTTTGACTACCTGATTATCCATCTTGGAAAGATTCTTAACAGCCCTCTTTAGAACCAGTTACTAACTCAAAGGAAGTCAATTATTCATCTTGCCACATGGCTCTGTTATTTTATGAAATTGCTTTTAGCCATATGTAACTATGAAAAGCCAAGCTGGGAATCCTGAAAACATATTTTCAGTTTGAGATTTCCTTCCTTCGTGTATTCGATACATTTGGTCCAGTGGCTGGCTTTCCTCTCCCTTGCACAGCCTGTGTTAGTTTTCTTCAAATCATGTTGGACATTTGCTAGTGCTCTCTGGTCTTGTTTTTCCTCAAAATGTTCCTCACTGCAGTTTGTCCTATACGGTTTTACATTTGGGATGTTATTTCTGCCTTTCAGCCTAACTATTACAAGGCAGGTGAGATTCCCATCGTATCACGTGAGGTCTTGGATTGGATCTACAGTTGGGGAATATTCTGGCTCACAGTGACCCTTCTCAGACACAGAAAAGTTTTACAGGAATGATAATATAAAATAAGTGAAGAGCTCCACAGTTTCACTGCTGTGGATTTTTTGAACTCTTATAGTTCTCATCCAGCTGTGTAGAAAATGATTTATTTTTTAAGTTTTCTTTTTCACTCCAGTATGTTCCCCTAAACCATGTTGAGAAACACAGTATAAGACACCACTAATTTGAACTTATGTTTAATATTTGCTAACTTTATGAACTGGCAGTTACCAGATGGTGCTTTAGCATCTGTAGAGCAAAATGCTGATTTTACTGTCTTTGGAGACCACAAGACGGTTTTGGCTCCTTTAAGACAAGGGTAGTTACAGACACATGCTGTTAGAACTGACAGATTCAGCAAAGTTGCAAGATGCAAAATCAACATGCAAAGATTACTGGTATTTCTATACCCTAACAATGAATAATCTGAAAAGGAAATTAAGGAAAATTTCACTTACATTGTGTCAAAAAAAAAGTCAAATACATAACCATAAACTTAATAAAAAATATCAAAGGTTCGTACAATAAAAACTACACAGCATTACAAAGACATTGAAGACACTAGGAAATGGAAAGACATCCCTCATTCATGGATTAGAGCACAATGTTATTAAGAGGTCAATTCTATCAAAAGCAGTTTATAGATTTAATGTGATCTTTATCAAAATCACAATGTTTGTTGCCAAAATTTTTTTCAAAAATCCATCCTAAAATTTGTGTGAAGTCTCAATGGGCTCTAAATA